AGATGGATACTTTCTATGTCTCTAAAGGGATTTCCAATACACACTGGTAAACAGATGTTTTTGAAAAGTTCTTTAGTGAAGAAACCTGATACCAGGGAACCCTTTCTCTCTTTAACACCTTAATGCGATTCTGCTCTTTTACTGTCCTGTGAAACACACTTTGGGAAATGCTCTTCAGGTCCAACCTCTTGTCCCAAAGAAGGAATGACTCAAACTCTATAAAAAAAGGTCTTCTTTAGACATAGTTATCTGACCTTTTTTAAAAACACTGAATACATTCTTAAGGCAAAATTGTTAGTAGTAATAGGAGGACTGAGTACTTACGATGTGCTTGATTCAAAGTGTTTTGCCTCCTTTCTTCCTCAGTGTGCCACTATACCTATCCTATATCTACATCTATATCCATAACCATATCTATGTATTCACATATAATAGATACATTGATATATTTGTTTTTAGGCTGTGAACATTTTAAGATGAGGATGTTTATCTCATTCATCTCTTGAGATCTCAAATCCTGCTACAAAAATCTGTCACATAGTACGTCATTAATGAAATGAGTTATCTCTAAAGATTGTATAGTCTGTGAGGGAGAATAGTTCTGGAAAACAGGAATGGACATTCTGCCCCTGATTAGAAAAGTAATTATCTCATATTCAAGTCTTCTCAATGAACACCAATTGAGGACAGAGACCTACTCCAACAGCTCTCCTCCCTGGGGATTCAAGTTTTCTTCTCTGAACTTAACTACATTACTGTTAGCATAAGTTATTTACAAAATAATCTTACATAATCTAGTAATATGCATTGAGTTTGTATTTAACTCTTGATTGCTATACAGAGTTTTTGTTCTTGTGTTTTCCAGGAAGGTAGAGCTTGTCCTTTTATATCTTGTGCCAGCTGTAGAGGCAAAATATCATATCCTCCATATTCCATTGTTAATAATTCCATTCTGCGGTTTCCTTTCCATAGTGTAACGTTTGAGCTTCTCAAATTTGTTTATTCTTTTCTTTCAGTGTTAACCAATGAAATTCCAATACTGGGTCTTGAAACTAGGTGATTTCTAGCCAGAGTTTAAATGTCTTTTTGCAAGGTAAAAAAAGGGAAATGTTCCCTCTTCCTTTCAATTGCAAAAAACAGCTAATATTTTTTATCATTGAACTGTCTTTGCAAATGTTATACATAAGAAAGGATATGATATCTGAATGTCAGAGACTACTGTAATGTTCTGAAAAATGTAATTTCTAAGAAGACTGTAATTCTGACTGTTGTCTTCTTTTCTTTCCTGGTTCTGGCAGTAATATTTAAATGGATACATCTCCTTTTGAAAACAGAAATAGTTATGAATTTTCTTTGTTGAGCCATAAGATTATTAGCTCATCCCTTTTTCTACCACATGCCTAAAAGTTAAAACAAATAAAACCTACGGTTTCATGCATTTTTCATTTAAACGGAGCCTAATGTCATCTCTCTGACTCCGTTTCTTTACCTGTAAAATGAACATAATAAGGAGGTGACTGGCTGGCACAGTTGGTAGAGCCTGTGACACTTGATCTCAGAGTTGTGAATTCAAGCCCCATGTTGGGCATAGAGCGTACTTAAAAAATGAACATAACAAGGCATTGGGTGGTTATAAGGGTAAACTTGTTATAATAGTGATTGACTCAAAAGTAACATGGAAGTCTTAGCTCTTTATAGTTCTGTGTGTTCCCAGGGTGCCTGGGTGGCTCAGTGGGTTAAGCATCTGACTTCAGCTCAGGTCATGATCTCATAGCTCATGAGTTCAAGCCCTGCATCAGGCTCTGTGTTGACACCTCTGAGCCTGGAGCCTGCTTTGGATTCTGTGTTTCCCTCTCTCTGTGCTCCTGCCCTGTTCACACTCTGTCTCTCAAAAAGTGAATAAACATTAAAAAAAAATTTTATAGTTCTGTGTGCTCCTGAGTGTGTGCTCACACAGAGCAGTGCTGAATGAGACAAGAAGGTGTTGAATGAGATCACTGACAGGTTTTGAAGAGAGATTGTGCTATGAGGAGAAAGAACACTGATTTGGGGTCAGGAGACTTGATTATGAGTCCAACATCATAGTCAGTAGCTATGGAGATTTGGACAAATCATTCAGCCTTTCTAAATCGCTTTTTCCTGATGTAGAAAGTGAGAGAAATAATAACTTATAGTGACATGTAGAATTGCTTTGAAGACCCCTAGAATTAATGCATGTGAGAGTGCTTTGTGTTGGGGGGGAAGTGCTGTGCCAATGTGAATGCTGGCTGTGGGGAAGTAACAGTGTGGTTTCCGGCTACAGATTTTGATCCAGGGTGAGGAAAATATCTAAGTATGTTTTACACAGAATTTTAGAGTCCACCTGCTAGGCTACAGTGACATTGTAAAGCATCACCATACTTACTCAACACTATTCCATTCAATCAGCATTGTTAGGGAGACTTTAAGGTACCATTCACATGCTAAATGAGATAATTTAAGATATAAGATAATTTACTTTCATGGAGCTTTTGCCACTTAGTAAAGAAAGACAAGTCAACAAAGGTAAGTTACATCTTATACAGATGGTCCTGGAGTTAGTTGTAGTTTGACCTAACAAATTTCAACTTTACGATGGTGCAAAAGTGACACATGTTCACTAGCAACTGTATCTCAAATTTTGGATTTCGATCTTTTCCCAAACTAGCAATATGGGGTACACATTCTTGTGATGCTGGCCAGTGAGCTCCCATTCAGCCACGCCATCACGAGGGTGAACAAGTGATACACTTACAACCATTATGCACCCATATAACCACTCTGTTTTTCCCTTCGAGAACAGTATTCAGTAATTTACATGAGATAGACAACACTTACAAAATATTATAAAATAGGCTTTCTTTTTGGTGATTTTTCCCAAAAGTAGGCTAATTTAAGTGTTGTGAGCATGTTTAAGAAATGCATTTCTGACTACAGTATTTTCAGCTTACAAGGGGATTATCAGGATATAACCCCAGTGTAAGTTGAGGAAGACAGATATAAATATAGATATAGATATAGATCTATATAAATACAGATTATATATATATATCTATATATTATCTATATTTATATAGATCTATATCATTTAAGTGTAGAAGAAATATGCAGAGGGGAATAGTTGAAGAGGTGATGTTTGGCTCTTGGATGGCAGAATGAGACCCTGCCATGGGACCTTACCCTATTTCTCACATACCCTACCCATCCAGACATCTGCTAGCTAATGAGTAAGCAAAGGCCTTAATGTGTGGGAGAACTACCGGAACATATAAGGCCATCCATTCAGACCATTGGACACTTTACTCAGACCAATTGACTATATTATACAGGTAAATCGTATGTGTCTGGAGGGGAAAGTGGAGAAGGCATGATGGCTAACAAAAATAAGGTCACTTGGAAAATCCTAGCTATAAATCACAGCTATAAAACAAAGATAAGTTTTTTTAAGCACACAGTAAAACCACAAACTAAGTGCTTCATTGAGTTATGAGCCATAAACTCAGCCATAAGAACTAGCTCCTTAGATTATTTCCCAGTATCATTTGCATGGTTACCAAAATTTCATTATGGTCATGAACACTCATAATGGACATAACTACCTGTCACAGAGTTTATACCAGAAAGATAGCTTTATCTAGTGGAAAGAGGCAGTTAATAAATATTTCAATAAAAGAAAGGAGAAGAAAGGAGGAGGAAAGACAGATGGAAAGGTGGAAGGGGGAAGGGAAGGAAGGAGGAAAAAGAAAGCACATATGATGGGCATTAAAACTGAATATTTAAGGATGCCTGGCTGGCTCAGTCAGTGGAGCATGCAACTCTTGATATCAGGGTTGTCAGTTCAAGCTCCATGGTGGGTGTAGAGATTACTTAAAAATAAAATCTTAAAAAAACAAACAAACAAACCTGAATATTTAAATCCCAGCTGTTACTGTCTCTAGTTAGGTAAACATTGACTTCACCTCTCTGAACCTTATTTTCTTCAAATATTTTTTTTAAAGTTTATGTATTTTGAGAGAGAGAGCATGTAAGCAGGGGGAGGGGCAGAGAGAGAGGAAGAGAGAGAATCCTAAGCAGGCTCCACACTGTCAACACAGAGCCTGTCGCAGGGCTTGAACTCACCCTGGTGATCTCAGGTGACATCATGACCTGAGCCAAAATCAAGAGTCAGATGCTTAAGCAAATGAGCTATCCAAGTGTCCCTGAACCTTATTTTCATCAAACATGGGGTAATAAATTTCAGGGAGATTGTGAGAATTAAAAATCACTTTTATAAAATGCCTAGTTAACAATAAGTGCTTAATAACTTGTTGCTGGTAATTCTTGCATTTAGGTAAATGGTGTGCTGCTACCAGTTATCAGTGGCACCCAACTGCATATTTTACATATTTTCATATATAGTTATATGCAACAAACAATATGCTTATAAAAATGCTGTTTTTAGAGTACAGTCATGGATCTGGAAAAAAGGTCTGCATTAAAAATAAATAATATACCTTAAAAAGTCATGCTTCTCAGGGTGTCTGGGTGGCTCAGTCAGTTAAGCAACTGACTTTGACTCAGGTCATGGTCTTGCGATTCGTGCATTCGAGCCCCGTGCTCTGTGGGGACAGCTCAGAGCCTCGGGCCTGCTTTGGATTCTGTGTCTCCCGCTTTCTCTTCCCTTTCCTGCTTGCACTCTCTCTTTCTCTCTCTCAAAACTAAATAAACATTAAAAAGGCATGTTTCTCAATGTTTTATTGGACACAAGTATGTCTCAGGAAACCTAAATGAAAACATGAACACTTTTACCTATATCTGAGGGAAGTAAGTAATAAGCATCAAACACTTTAACACCATTTAAACTGTAACATGTACTGAAAGCCATAATGCTGTCAGCCATTTTTCCTTTTAAATTAAGATGCTTCTGCAGTCATAATTGAAAGTGACTTTTTTCTCAAATGGTGTCAGATATGGAGGGATGAAGATTAAGAAGAAATACTCACGGATAGGATCTGGTCTCCTCTCTGGAGCTCCCCACTCAGATCTGCTGGTCCACCAGCCAGAATGAATGATACAAAAATACCTTCTCCATCTTCCCCGCCCACGATGTTGAAGCCCAGGCCAGTGGAGCCTTTGTGCAGGACAACCTTGCGGGGCTCCCTGAAGAAACAAGTGGAAAACAGAGCTCACGGGGTGACCCACTCAAGATTTAGGTTGCTTTTACTTTCATTGAGATATTTGATACCAGCAACTCACTACCTATCTTCTCAATGTAAGATACATTAGTACTCCAAGAAAAATGCTAATTTCATGGCAGATGTCTGAGTTCCTCACCACAAAAATGCAATATCATACAAGGTCATCCCTTAATTCCAAAACATTTTCTTAAACTAGCTTTACTTCTACTTTTCCTTTGCTTAGAACACCTGTTCTTGTATTTTTTAAAATTGAGACATAATTGACATATAACATTATATTAGTTTCAGGTGTACAATGTAATGATTCAATATTTGTATATCATGAAATGATCATGAGAAGGAGTCTGAGTAACATCTATCACCACACATAGTTACAATTTTTTCTTCTTGAGATAAGAACTTTTAAGATCTACTCTCAGCAACTTTCAAACATACAATACAGTATTAAGCACCATGTTGTATATGACATCCCCAGGACTCATTTATTTTAAAAGTAGAAGGTTGTATCTTTTGACCACCTTCACCCATTTCACTCCCCCCACTCATTTGTTCTTCTATTGAGCACCATAGTAGCACTCAGTAGGATGAATTCATCCCAAGGGGAGAGAATCTGGGGGACAAGAGACTAGTCTGAATAGGTCCTATCATGAAATATCTTACATGTTTGTTCGACTATTAATTAAAATTTACTCTGTAGGCAGTGGAGACTCATTGGAAGATTCTGAGGCACCAAGAATATTTAAATCCATTTTAGGAGCATTAACAAATGGTCTTATGTAGGATTGCTGGAGAGGAGAGTGTTGATATAATGGGAGGTAGAAAAATTAGTTAGGATGTTGAGTAAGTAATCCAAATGTGAGAAAGTGAGAGCATGAACAAGGGTGACAGTAGTGATAATGAAATGAAAGGGCAATGTGAGAGAGTAAATCTGAAAGGAGAAACAGTGGGTCCAGAGATTGACTCACACAGTAGAGGAGAGATGGAATGATAGCTAAGTGATTGGCAAAAGGAGGGAGAACTGGAATCCAGGATCATGAGGATGGGTATGATTTGACATGCTCAATTCCAGGTGATGGTGGGTCATCCACGCGGTGTTCAGAAATGATTAGAGACAAAGGTTAGGAATTTGGATCCATAGAGAAGACTGCAAATGCAGATTTGAGGGTCATCAGCAAAAAGATGAGAGACAAAAATCTTGAGCCATTAGTTAGTTGAGTTTGTGTAGAGGGTAGATAACTATGGAATATAGAATTTTAAGGGAGCTAGAAGACATCTAGTTCTATATTCTTATTAGTAGTTAAAAAAAAAATGTATTCTCTAAGTCTTGGGTTTGACCAAGGCACTTTTGTATCACCTACCATCCTCCCAAATATCCCAGTTTCAGTCATTAAAGTTTCCCTTAATGATGTAAAAATGGCAAAGAGCCCGCCTAGTATAAAAAAAGAGTATTTTTTTATACTAATGACTACACAGAATCTGTTATTTGCTATCACATTCCCATGCACAAAGCAATGCATTATATATCTATGTTTGGCCTAATTTTGAGGAAGGGTGTAAAATGCACATACAGCATGGACTCTACGTAATGTATTATAATGCAATGCATTAAGTCAAAAATAGCTTGACATAGAGTTAATTTATTTTACTCTACAAATACTCTGTAAGCACTACTATACCAGGAACTGTTCCAGGTATGCAGAAAGTTTATACACAAAACAAACATCCCTGCCCCATTTGACTAAATACCTGGGTGCCCTATGGCCCAGTCAAGATGACATATAAAAAGAGCCATCAAAGAGACCGAGCTCCCTGTTTCCTTGCTGGACACCAGATGGGAGTCTCTCTCAGGCCCCAGAGGCTACTCACATTCCTTGTTAGCTGGCAATGGCACACTGGATCCTTTTCTCATTTGGAATTTCTTTGACTTGCTCTTCCACAACTAGTTAGATTTAACTTTCTGCTTTTCAATGGTATGTGTGATATGGTTAGGCCCACCCAGATAATCTCCTTACTTTAGGATCAAGTGATTAGTAACCTTAACTACACTTGCAAATTCTTTTTCCCATATAAGGTAACTTAACTGTGGGAGTAACATCATGGGGCAGAAATCACGGGGCCATCTTAGAATTTTACCTACCACAGGCAGAGAGACAACAGGGGATAAATCCTGTAGGGCCTTGTATACCATTCTAAAACTTTGAGTTTTACTCTGACAGAAATAGGAAACCACTGAGAAGATTACTTGATCAGATTTATATTTTTAAATGTTACTTTGGCATAAAATATATGCAAGGGGCAACATTTGAAAAAGTGAGATGAGTTATGTGGCTAATGGCTACATGCAGGGAAAAGAGTGACTTGGCTGAGGGTAGTATTAGAGGAAGTGGTAGGCAGTGGGTATATTTCCAGTCAATTTTCTCTCTGTGGCCAGACTGAGTAATTTCTACCCTCCTATCTTCAGATTCAGCTGTTCTTTCTTCTGTCATATTTATTCTGCTCTTGACCCCATTCAATGAGTTTTTTTCTATTTTGGTTTTTATATTTTTCAGCTTTAAGATCCATTTGTTATATATAACAAATGGATCTTAAAGCTGAAAAAATCTATGTATCTATCTATCTATCTATCTATCTTCTTTTCTTTTGTGGAGACTTTCATTTTTTTCTCCATTTATTTCAAGTCTGTGTGGAATGCCTACTGAAGCATGATGGGTATTTTAAAATCCTTGTCAAATAATTCTAACTCCTATGTTATCTCAGTGTTGGCATCAGCTGGAGATTTTCCTGGTTCTTGGAATAAGAAGTGATTTTATTTTATTATATACTGGACACTTGGGTATTACAGTATAAAATACTATATTCTACTTAATCTTAGTTTTTTTCAGCTTGTAGATCAATTTAGGAATAACTTGCAGACGCCAGTGAAATGGATATTCAGCTTCTTACTTGTCCCTGGTGACACCAAGGAGGAAAGTGGGGGTACCAACTGGTATTCCACTCATTCTACCTCATTTCCACTTAGTGGGGTAGAAACTCAGTTCCCCACGGGCCCACTGACACCAATGGGGGAGTGAAAATAGGGTGCTGACTAGCACTGCCTTGAGCCATTTTGTTCTGCCTCCTTGCCTCTGAGTGTGGCTAGAAGTTCAGCTCACTACCCTACTGGGAAAAGTGGTTTGCCAACTAGCACTGCGTCCCTCTTCCCCCTTCTACCTCAATGCCACTGACCAGCAGTAGTTCAGCTCCCTGGTGGTCCCCACCAATACCAGGAGTAGGGACATGGAATGCTAACGAGCGCTATCTCATTCCAGGCTTGTTGCAGCTGGATGAAGGTGCAAGTTCAGCCCCCAAGTGGGGAGTGGAGGTCAACTAGCATGTCACCTTGTTCTGCCTGTTTGCTGCTGGATAGGGGTGGAAGTTCAGCTTTTATTTGGCCCACGACATCACCCCAGTGGAGGAAGTCCAGGGTCATCTTAGAACTGCCTCTCCTGGCTTCCCCTAATGGGGCCAGATGTCTAGCTATCTGCACAGTCCACTGGCACTGCAGTGAGGGTTTTGCCTTTGGTGTTTGGATAGAGTTAGGGAAGTATTATCAAAAGGCTCCCTGTTCTATTAATCTATCCTTTTTCCAATCTTTTGGATACAGGTTGCAGGCTTTCTTGAGGCTTTTTTGGTCTGTCCTTATTGGTAGGGGTGCCAGGGTGAAGGCGTCTCCAGGGCTCCATTCAGGACATATAGGAAGTAAAAAGAAAATTTAAGAAACTCACCACAGTATCACTCCTCTCTGAGCTGGTCTTACTGATTTCCAATTTGTAGAGTCTTCCCACGTTTGTTTGTTTTATTATGTCTTAAGCTGTGTGTGCGTATGTGTGTGTGTATATGTGCATGTGTGTGTGTGCATTTTAATAAGAGGGATGATTAGAGAGAAAGGGGATACTGTATTTTGACTGCAACCAGAAGTCCAGATTCTGGATACATTTTGAAGGTAGGGGCCAACAGGATCTTGAAGAAAAAAAGTTGTGGAAATATTCCTCTTCACTCAAGTTTAAAACACACACTCTTAGTACTACCAATGACATTCAAGTTATACATAGTAAACATAGATGAAGAGAAAGGGTTATCTTTGTGCTAGATATTATCTTTGATGCTTTATGTGCATCATTCCATTTATTCCTCAAGACAATCTAATGAGAGATGCACGGAGATGTCAACATGCAACTACTTTTAAACTGATCCAAAAAGGAAGATGGACAGATGATTGGATAGATAGATGGATAGATATTTTATAGAATAAGTGAAGTAAAATGTTAAAAGTGCAATCTAGATGGCAAGTGTATAAGTATTCATTTTATTATTTATTTATTTATTTATTTATTTATTTATTTATTTATTTTTAAAAATATTTTTTAATGATTATTTATTTTTGAGACAGAGAGAAACAGAGCATGAGGAAGGGAGGGGCAGAGAGAGAGGGAGACACAGAATCCGAAGCAGGCTCCAGGCTCTGAGCTGTCAGCATAGAACCCAACATGGGTCTCGAACTCATCAACCACGAGATCATGACCTGAGCCAAAGTTGGAAGCTCAACTGACTGAGCCACCCAAGCACCCTTATTATTGATGTTTAAATGTTTATTTATTTAGGGGAGAGAGAGAGAGAGAGATCGATCAGGTAGGGAAGGGGCAGAGAGAGAGGGAAAGAAAACTTCTTACATTATTGAAATGAGACTGCTTTCCAAGTTTTTACTGATTTTAGTAAGTTAACAAAAGCAGGATTAAGACACAGATTTTTCTCACTCAAAATCCCAGAGTCTAGAGTATGATATATTCCAAAGGTTGCAAATCAGAAAGATAATGGCTTAATGTGACCCAGTGTTTACAAATTTTTGAATTGTTGCTTATGTTTAAAATTGGGAAAATTTGCATTAAATATAGATTTATTACTTTATAGGAAAAAAAACAGATA